AAAATATCTGTCTTTAGTTAGGTAAAGGAAGATTATCAGGAAGTTGTATTGGATTTATTCTAGAAGATATAGGTATGGACAAAGTAGATGTATGTCTGTGACAAACCATGCTCTTCTTCTTCAGTTAATTATTTTTCAATGAATAAGAATAAATATTATTTATATGAATTAAGAAGCATTTGAAAATAAATAGAACTTCTTCAAAATAAATAAAAGTATTTTTAATTTTAAGAATAATGAACTAAATATTGAAAAATATATTATTAGTTTATATAAAATTAAGTTAAAATTAAATAATTAATTCAAATTGAATTCAATATGATAAGGAAACGAAATTTAAATATATCTTACATTGCCGGAGTTTCAGCGGCTGATGACGGTACTGTAAAAACTGAACCTGCACTTTGGTCAGAAACCTCAGTATACATTCTACAAAATAAAAAAAAATAAAATAACATTGTGTACATTCCAATAAAAAAGAAAAAAATTTTTAAATAAATTGAGTCAATTTTTTAAAAATGTCGGTAATTTACAGTAAGTAATAATGTATATGTTAGCTTTTATATATATCTGTCTTTAGTTAGGTAAAGGAAGATTATCAGGAAGTTGTATTGGATTTATTCTAGAAGATATAGGTATGGACAAAGTAGATGTATGTCTGTGACAAACCATGCTCTTCTTCTTCAGTAATTATTTTTCAATGAATAAGAATAAATATTATTTATATGAATTAAGAAGCATTTGAAAATAAATAGAACTTCTTCAAAATAAATAAAAGTATTTTTAATTTAAAGAATAATGAACTAAATATTGAAAAATATATTATTAGTATATATAAAATTAAATTAAAATTTAATAATTAATTCAAATTGAATTCAATATGATAAGGAAACGAAATTTAAATATATCTTACATTGCCGAAGTTTCAGCGGCTGATGACGGTACTGTAAAAACTGAACCTGCACTTTGGTTAGAAACCTCAGTATACATTCTACAAAATAAAAAAAAATAAATAAAAAAAAATGTGTATATTCTAATAAAAAACAAAAAGATTAAATAAAATTATAATTTTTAAAAATGCATTAATTAAGTAAGCATAAATTTATATTAGCTTTAAAATATATGTCTTTAGTTAGGTAAAGGAAGATTATCAGGAATTTGTATTGGATTTATTCTAGAAGATATAGGTATGGGCAAAGTAGATGTATGTCTGTGACAAACCATGCTCTTCCTCTTCAATTAATTATTTTTCAATGAATAAGAACAAATATTATTTATATGAAATTAGAAGCATTTGAAAATAAATAGAACTTCTTCAAAATAAATAAAAGTAGTTTTAATTTAAAGAATAATGAACTAAATATTGAAAAATATATTATTAGTATATATAAAATTAAATTAAAATTTAATAATTAATTCAAATTGAATTCAATATGATAAGGAAACGAAATTTAAATATATCTTACATTGCCGGAGTTTCAGCGGCTGATGACGGTACTGCAAAAACTGAACCTGTACTTTGGTTAGAAACCTCAGTATACATTCTACAAAATTAAAAAAAAAATAAATAAAAAAAAATGTGTACATTCTAATAAAAAAGAAAAAATTAAATAAAATCATAATTTGTAAAAATGCATTAATTAAGTAAGCATAAATTTATATTAGCTTTAAAATATATGTCTTTAGTTAGGTAAAGGAAGATTATCAGGAATTTGTATTGGATTTATTCTAAAAGATATAGGTATGGGCAAAGTAGATGTATGTCTGTGACAAACCATGCTCTTCCTCTTCAGTTAATTATTTTTCATTGAATAAGAACAAATATTATTTATATGAAATTAGAAGCATTTGAAAATAAATAGAACTTCTTCAAAATAAATAAAAGTAGTTTTAATTTAAAGAATAATGAACTAAATATTGAAAAATATATTATTAGTATATATAAAATTAAATTAAAATTTAATAATTAATTCAAATTGAATTCAATATGATAAGGAAACGAAATTTAAATATATCTTACGTTGCCGGAGTTTCAGCGGCTGATGACGGTACTGCAAAAACTGAACCTGTACTTTGGTCAGAAACCTCAGTATACATTCTACAAAATTAAAAAAAAAATTAATAAAAAAAAATGTGTATATTCTAATAAAAAACAAAAAGATTAAATAAAATTGTAATTTTTAAAAATGTAGTAATTAAGTAAGTATAAATTTATATTAGCTTTAAAATATCTGTCTTTAATTAGGTAAAGGAAGATTGTCAGGAATTTGTGTTGGATTTATTCTAGAAGATATAGGTATGGGCAAAGTAGATGTATGTCTGTGACAAACCATGCTCTTCCTCTTCAGTTAATTATTTTTCAATGAATAAGAACAAATATTATTTGTATGAAATTAGAAGCATTTGAAAATAAATAGAACTTCTTCAAAATAAATAAAAGTAGTTTTAATTTAAAGAATAATGAACTAAATATTGTAAAATATATTATTAGTATATATAAAATTAAATTAAAATTTAATAATTAATTCAAATTGAATTCAATATGATAAGGAAACGAAATTTAAATATATCTTACATTGCCGGAGTTTCAGCGGCTGATGACGGTACTGCAAAAACTGAACCTGTACTTTGGTTAGAAACCTCAGTATACATTCAACAAAATTAAAAAAAAAATAAATAAAAAAAAATGTGTACATTCTAATAAAAAAGAAAAAATTAAATAAAATCATAATTTGTAAAAATGCATTAATTAAGTAAGCATAAATTTATATTAGCTTTAAAATATATGTCTTTAGTTAGGTAAAGGAAGATTATCAGGAATTTGTATTGGATTTATTCTAAAAGATATAGGTATGGGCAAAGTAGATGTATGTCTGTGACAAACCATGCTCTTCCTCTTCAGTTAATTATTTTTCATTGAATAAGAACAAATATTATTTATATGAAATTAGAAGCATTTGAAAATAAATAGAACTTCTTCAAAATAAATAAAAGTAGTTTTAATTTAAAGAATAATGAACTAAATATTGTAAAATATATTATTAGTATACATAAAATTAAATTAAAATTTAATAATTAATTCAAATTGAATTCAATATGATAAGGAAACGAAATTTAAATATATCTTACATTGCCGGAGTTTCAGCGGCTGATGACGGTACTGTAAAAACTGAACCTGCACTTTGGTCAGAAACCTCAGTATACATTCTACAAAATTAAAAAAAAAATTAATAAAAAAAAATGTGTATATTCTAATAAAAAACAAAAAGATTAAATAAAATTATAATTTTTAAAAATGCATTAATTAAGTAAGCATAAATTTATATTAGCTTTAAAATATATGTCTTTAGTTAGGTAAAGGAAGATTATCAGGAATTTGTATTGGATTTATTCTAAAAGATATAGGTATGGGCAAAGTAGATGTATGTCTGTGACAAACCATGCTCTTCCTCTTCAGTTAATTATTTTTCAATGAATAAGAACAAATATTATTTATATGAAATTAGAAGCATTTGAAAATAAATAGAACTTCTTCAAAATAAATAAAAGTAGTTTTAATTTAAAGAATAATGAACTAAATATTGAAAAATATATTATTAGTATATATAAAATTAAATTAAAATTTAATAATTAATTCAAATTGAATTCAATATGATAAGGAAACGAAATTTAAATATATCTTACGTTGCCGGAGTTTCAGCGGCTGATGACGGTACTGCAAAAACTGAACCTGTACTTTGGTCAGAAACCTCAGTATACATTCTACAAAATTAAAAAAAAAATTAATAAAAAAAAATGTGTATATTCTAATAAAAAACAAAAAGATTAAATAAAATTGTAATTTTTAAAAATGTAGTAATTAAGTAAGTATAAATTTATATTAGCTTTAAAATATCTGTCTTTAATTAGGTAAAGGAAGATTGTCAGGAATTTGTGTTGGATTTATTCTAGAAGATATAGGTATGGGCAAAGTAGATGTATGTCTGTGACAAACCATGCTCTTCCTCTTCAGTTAATTATTTTTCAATGAATAAGAACAAATATTATTTATATGAAATTAGAAGCATTTGAAAATAAATAGAACTTCTTCAAAATAAATAAAAGTAGTTTTAATTTAAAGACTTTTAAACTGAATATTGAAAAATATATTATTAGTATATATAAAATTAAATTAAAATTAAATAATTAATTCAAATTGAATTCAATATGATAAGGAAACGAAATTTAAATATATCTTACATTGCCGAAGTTTCAGCGGCTGATGACGGTACTGTAAAAACTGAACCTGTACTTTGGTCAGAAGCTTGAGTATCCATTCTACAAAATAAAAAAAATAATAATAAAAAAAAAAAATCTATGTACACTGTATTAAAAATAATAATAATAAATATACACAAAATTTTAATTTTCAAATATGTAATTAAATAAATTTGAACTTGTTTTAATTTTAAAATAATTAACTACAGTTATGATAACGAAAATTGTCATGAAGTTTCAAGAGGATGAAAACGATTCGAAGTTAGATGTTAAGTTAAATTATAATGGAGTTAGTGTTCTATAAAACAGCTCTAAAATGAAACTAAATATGCGGAGAATACATTGTTACTGATACTATTACTACTATCATGCTTAGTATTACTCAAAGGAGGTAATATATTTTAACAGAAAAATACTGTTTACCTGTAAAATAAGGCAAAAATTTCTAGAAGAGTGTAATCCATGTTCATTAACAGCACCACTGGTTACCTCAGATCTTATATCCTGAAAAAGCATCGGCACCCTAAAGCCTAATGGATTAATTCATGAGTTCTCTTCAAGGGATTGCAAATTTTTGTTGGAAAAAGCAGTACTTTTAGCTTGCTTTAAGAGAAACCTATTACCAAACGGTGCGCGGTAAAAGGAACATTTCTAAATTTAAAATGTTTATAAATAACAAAGTTTATATAAACGAAAAATTTGCAAGTAATTGTAAACAATGCTAAATTTTCGGGTTGTTGAAAATATGCAAAAAAAAAAGGAAGGTTACATTTTGAGCCAGAATAATTTATTATTTGACAATAAGTACATTCAGTACCAATAGCTTGTGAATATAAATTTCATATGTATTAAATAGACTCAATATTGACATAAAATTTGATATATAAATTCTTGATTGGTGAATACTTTTCAGTTATGTGTATGTATATATATCTGTATCGGGTAGTGGTTTTGTATGTATACTGTTTATTTTAATAAATATTGAAAATTAAACCTTTGCACATACTAATTTCCATTTTTATTATTTTAATTTTAAATTATGAAATTAATTAATTTTATATATAATTTTATTTAAAATACAAATATTCTCAACTTAAGCAAATAATAAAGTAATTAGTTCCATAAATTTTAATTATGAAATTAATAAATATCAACTAATTGTTATTACTTTAACTTAAAATTTAACAAAAGTAAAAATTTATAAAATTTTTAATTAAAAATTCGTAATATGAGTGATAAAAAATATTAAAACTAAAATAATTTAAGATATTCATATATATGAATTCAACAAATTCCATATCCTACTAATATATTTTCAATGAAAATGAAGACGAAAATGAAAATAAAAAAAAATTTAATGGCAAAAAAGAAAATTTAATTAAAATTCCCGATATAGTTTGACATTTTGGCACAGAAACGAATTTCTCTTTGACGTCATTAAAAACAAAAAAAGTCCCGTCCCGTTTGTGAATGACAAACAATAATTATAGTTAAATTTCGTTAGATTAAATATTTTAATAATAACTACTAGTACTTATTAGGAAAAAAAAATAAGCATGACAATACAATGATCGCTTGGAACTTTTTTTGATTAATTTTTGGTTAAATTAATAATTTATTATACTCACCTGAGTCCAAAAATTTCTAGAAACTGAAGATATCACAGATTCTTTCATATTTTTTGTATAATTATTTTTTTTAAAAGAGTTTTGCAATTTAATTTTAAAGTTGAATATTATTTTATATATAAAACATAAATTTACTAGAAAAAATTTATTTCTAAAAAGTTATTTGGATTGGATCTTACTGCGCTTGAAATCAGCACAAAGGGATATAGGTTTTTGTGAGGGGATGAAAGCGAATATAAATTAATGTTAACACCATAATGCTATCATTTTCGAAGTTTTTGATTTTTATTTGCATTTTATAGTTAATACCACATAAACGATACCATTAGAGATCGCGTAGATACTTTATTGGCAATTGAAATTTAGTTTTTAAACAACTTAAGACAAAAAAAATTGGTTTTATATTATAAACTGAACATTTCACTAAGATATTCAATCATCTTAAAGTATATGAATAGATTAGAAAAATGTGTTATTTCTATTATTTTTT